GCTGGTCGCGGCGGCCCAGCCGGCCGTGGAGCCGGCGGTGGTACCGGAGGCGGGCGGAACCCGCCTCCTCGGGGCCCCGGGGCCCGCAGCCCAGCCGGCCACGAGGCTGGCCTGCCTCGTGGCCCGACTGACCGGCGAGCGCGGTCCGATCGCCAGCTTCGCGGCCGATCAGATCGTCAGTTGGACGCGCGGATCCGAGCCGGCCGAGGCGCTGGTGCGCCGCCGGCCGCTGGTGCCCGACTGGCGCATCAGCGGCGCAGGCGCTCGGCTGTTGGCGACGGCTTTTCTGCCGGCCTCGCAGCCACATCTTCAGCTGTCGCTGGCCCCGTTGCCACGCAACCGCGGCGAGTCGACGCGGCCGCCGGCTCCGCTCAAACGGCTTCTTCACCGCTCGGCCGGGCTTCAGCCCAACCGGACCAAGACGCTGCTGACGCCGCGGGCTCTCGTCGTCGAGCGAGTCCACGCTTCCAATTGCCCGCCGGCCGCTTCACGCCGGCGCTCGGCCTCATGTCGCCTCGACGCGGCTCCGGCCGCCGGCACGGCCTGGCACCTCGTCTCCCTGACGCCGCAGGCGCTGCCGGCACCCACGGCGACGCAGACGGCGACGGCGCGAGTTCGAGGCCGCACTCAGTCGCGTGTGCATGCGCGAACTCGAGTCCCGGCCACGCCGTCGAACCCGGTCTCCTCCGAGGTCTGCATCTTCCCGTTGCGCGAGCTCGAGGCGTTGACGCATCACTGCCAGCGCATCCTCGGCCAAGGCTTGCAGGCGCGCCTGAGCCGGCGCCAGCAGCAGACCGGCTGTCACATGCTGCTCGAGTCCGGACTGGCCTGCCAGTCGCGAGGACTCAAGCAGGCCGACTCAAACGACAGCCTCTTCACCGCAATCGACCAACCGACGCGCCGACCCGCCGTCGACTTGGAGACGATTTACTCGAGCCACTTTTTCCGCCTGAACCACCAACGTCACCACAACAGTAACAACAACAACAACAACAAAAACTACGAGGCCTCGTCTTTCTGGTGCGAGGACCTGCGGCTGATGCCGAACCTCGGCGATAAGCAGACGGCCTTCCTGTCGTTCGATCAACTGGTCAACCGGTACCAGGGCCAGAAGAGGCCCTTCAGCTCCATGGACGCCAGTCTGCCAGAGTTCGACAGGCCAACCAGCGGGCCATGCTACGCGGCCCGTCTCAAGTCGGACCCTCGTCGGACGACGGCGCCTCGAACCGGCGTCCCGGGCTCGGACCCGCCCGAGGCTGGGCCGGCCATGCTCGATTCGGCCACCGCGACCGAGGCCGGCGTCAAGGCCTGTCTGCTGCG